GTTTTAGGGTTACGTCGTCGTCGTTACCGGTTAACCGAACTACCGCCCTTCGGTCCGGTACCAGACACGAGTACTTAAAATAAATAGATAACTACAACAACCAAAACAAAAAAAAAAAAGAAAGAAAGAAAAACAACACAAAAAAAACACATTGAATAATTGAATATAATATGGTATCTGGATAATAATTTATATATTAAAAGTAAAAACATTCTACGCCCTCTGTGTTTATAATGATGGCGTCGAATGGAAATGTAAGAATGTTTTTCACATTAAACTCAAGCATAAAATTGATAATTATTGCAATTAGACGTATGAATTGCAGATTTATTCAATTATTAGGAATTATAATATAATGGATAAATCTATCTGATTAATTGTAAATCATACTTTAGTTGGCTAAGGTAATTAACTAATGTAATGGAAAACATAGCTATAGTTTTGCTTTGCTGAAATTGCTCAATCTCATTAAAATTTAAAATCATCATTTTTGATGGCATAGGATAGGGTAGTCAGGAGACTCAAATCAGGTTATGCGTTTTTAGGTGATTAAGTTCAGTTTAGTTAACGATTAAGCCAAAAAGCTTTGAGGTTTGAAGAGTATCCTCGTTACTATGCTGGAGTAGACTAGAGACTGTAATTTCTTAAAACTGATCTAATCGTGTATGTGAACTCTTGAAACGATGTTGCAGATGTGTAATCTTGTTTTAGGCCTAGTGAAAAACTAAAACCTGCTTCAAACAAAATATAATTTAATAATAAATGATAATTCCTTAATCATGTTAGAGATTTGTAAAAAAAAACAGAACTGAAACACTTAGAGTCATAAATAGCTGTGAAAGATGTTCATAATATGTGTAGGCATTGATTTGTCAAGGTCTTTGGAGGGACACTTCTTTCACTTTCATTATCACTAGCATAAGTACAAAATCAACATTACGTATCAAATTAAAAAAGATCATACTTAACACAATTATGACAAGCACCTTTACAATTATGCTAACATAAAATGAAAATATAATTAAATTAAATGTAAATTAACATTGCAATAAAAAGAAATCACAAGTAAATCATGTATTAGGAGAATAATAAAATATTGCTCTTTGCTTTTGTATGTAAGGAGTTATCTTTGAGGGTCATGAGATGAAGTTATCAACTTATCCTTAACTTTTGTGAAACACTTAAATTAAAATAATAATAAAATCAAAATAATAACTTGTTTAAAGAAACTTTAACATAACAATTAGCTAACTATGATGTACTTCCAACACTTGGCTCTTCACATGCTAATGTTTTTTCATTTCAAAGAATCAAATTCTAGTAGTAAAGTGCCATGTATTCCATGGACAGAGGCTTTAATTCTGAGGAGCAGTGCACCCCCCCCCACATAAATAAATATTGAAATTCTAAATGCTCCTTTCCCCCCTGCTAACCCAGTGTTTATGAATGATATGGTTAACTACTAAGTTGGTACTTGTATATATGTGTGTGTCTATATATATATATATATGACTGAGTTAAATCTAAAAAAGCCATACAAAAATACTATTACTAACATCTAACCCTTTCAATATGGGTGCATAAAATTATGAATGTCATAACATTTATAGAGTTATATTCAAAAATGTAATTAAATTTCTTTATTACCAGTGTATAACAATAAACTCGGCATCAAAGCATAGTTTATAATTCAAATTTTGATGTTCTATAACTATTCTTTCTTAATTTCAAAAGAAAATATTTAAATAAATCCTCAAATTTCACTTGTCTTAATTTTTTCTTCACCCTTACATGATATCTTGACTTTAATATAAATTACACATTTAACAGTTTAAATATTTCTAAGCATACTTTTAATTTTGTAGCCCAAGCCATGTAGTTTACAATTATATAAACCTAAAAGTCAAAACCATTTTCCATACCCTCTTATCATGTCCTATCTTTAAAAAAGTGACATTAATTCTCTCTGACATCTCAGTTTGGATTATTTAAAACTGATAGAAAGAGCAAGATTTTAGTTTAATGAATGATGTATAAATCTAACTTGTGTCTGACAGAGCCTTTGAATTATTGGCTACAGAATGAGTTTTTGTCACAGAGTTCACATTTTTGATGACATGATCATAATGATGATGTCAAACTAGGGTTCAGTTTGTATTTCATTTATATCTGTTTTATAATGTTTCTTTTCTATTGCTTTATATCAATATTAGCATGAAGCATTTCTTTTCTCTGAATGTAACTATTATTTTGCTGTATAACATACCCAACTGTTTTTGAGAACATGAATTAGATGTTAATTGTTTTTATTTCAAGGTTATTTTCTATCTACTTCTTAGTATTTTCTCCATTCTCTACTGCTTTCTTAGATTTGTTTTTAGTCTTTCTTAGATGCAGACTCACTGAAGTCAACTAGTGTAAGTGGAATATGCCTGTTCATTCACTTAGTCTCTAGTTTGAATTTCTGTGGCCAAAATGTTTAGATTGTATGCTATGTGAACAAGCATGCCAGTTCTCATTGAAGTAGGTTTGCTATACCTGCTAAACCTGTAAAAAGTGAAAGATACTTAGTTGCTGCAAAAGATGGAGACTGTGGACAATAACAGCTACCTTGTTCTGTGGAGATGATTCACAAACATCTTTCTACCACATCAGAGTGAAGAATCTCTTTGTCTATTGATTTCAGCACTCCCACTTTGTCGACATTTCTTCTTCTGAATGTTGCTGAACAGTGTTTAGGAGATGAGAACATTAGATATACTTCACAACACTTTTGTATTGCATCTTGACTGTTTTCAGCTTGATGATGTTATCTATAAGAAGGTTCAAGGCATGAGCAATACAAATATAGAAAGCTGTGGAGTGGTCAGGATATTTCTCTTGAAGTAACTGCTAGGCTTTCTTCATTTGGTAGCACTGTGTATTACTGAAATATTTGCAACAGCATTTCCTTTCAGGACCTTGTATGTCAGCTATGTTTTTGCCTGTGTATCTCAGTGTGTTTGTTTTGATGGTCTTGTCACAACTGGTTTGTTTTGTAAGTTACTTCAACCATGACACTGAAAGCTCAATGCATGTACATCTACCAGTTTCAACTATACATCTCAATAAGCTCTTTCAGATGGTTTGACAAACAGTATTGAATTGGAAGCTATGGAAGTGAATATAAGTACTGGAAGGCAGTTAACCAGATATGTTTAGTTTCATATTTTTGGAATATACTGCTTTTGCTAGCTACTCTCAAGAATGTTTGTTTGTTGTGTTGTGATAAAGTCAGAAGACTTTCCTATGTGGGAACTTTTAGTGACATGGAGTTTATGACATAGGATTACTTGGTGATTTTGAGGCCTTATGTGGTCCTAAGAAACTAATATTTCCAAAAATGTTCTTTTTCAGATACCTAGGACACACTCAGATTGTCTGTTTTAACTTTATATTGATTAACACTCTGGTTTTTGTGCATAAGTAGATATACTGCAAGTTTTTGGCTTCTTAACAGCTAAGCCTTTGTTAGATTTCAACTTTTCACGCTAAATGTCTTAACTTCATTAGGACATTTCTTGCAATTGTTCACATGGTTACTCATTCTGGTAACATTTGGGGTTTAAATACATTTTTCCCACAACACTTACAACAGATAGTCTGTTAAAAAAAGTCTTAATTTTTTATTGGCACAAAATATTTTATAACACTTCTTTATTGTTACCTATTATCTAACCTATATAAAAGCCACTGTGTGTCACATAATGTCATGCTTGATTTTTCAAAATAAGAAGAATCATAAAAGCAAAAATGCATTTATCCAGATAGAATAGTTTGATTACTGTCTGTGAGGGGGGGGGGGGGGGCATGCCATGAAACCTTGTAAGTGTATTGAGTGTTGGTATAATAAGCCCCTAAAGGCGTAGTGTGGAATCACCTAGCCTAGAACCAAGTGCATAAAATTTATCATTAAGTAAAAATATCGTTTCTTAGTTAAGCTGTTTTCTGTTATGTAACCAACATTTTTAATAAAAAACAAACTTCTTTTATCAATGGAGACTCTAAATTAAGAAATCAGCAAATATTTTTCCAGTTTTGCTGTCTATACATTTCATTTTATACTTTAAGTACATAGACTAACAACAGTATTAGTTTATACTTTTGTTGCTAAGCAACGTGACATAAAAGCTGTTGTTGGAATGTAGTGTTACCAAAATGCACTGGCTTTTCTATATATTGGAAGTTGTTAATCTAACTGATTTTTACCAATAATTATTCTATGAATATGCCATGAATTCATTTCATGAATGATCTTAATTTTGATTGGCTCACAAAGGAATTTACCAATGTTTGATTGCCTCGACTGCACCTTTCTGCCTCTTTATTGGTCAAGCTTGATTTTGCAAAATTTATTTTTTTCAGTTAGCTATGGAATGAGAGGTTAGGGTATATTATGTGGTGGGGGTGCTAGTACTTGCCTTGTCATTTTTGATGGGCTGTAGGCTAGTTGTTAACTAATTTATATTATGCTTTAGGGTCATTTAAGTTGACAAACTCACACACTACTACTGAATGCATGTCTTTCTTTTATCTAAAAGCAAAACAGCACAAAGAAATATTTGAAGTTTTTGTTGGCCTATGCTTTGTCACAAAAATTCTCTAGAACATTTTTAGTTTTTTGGTATTGACCAACTGAATACTGTTGTTGTCATGTGATTGCAGTGAAGGCTACTTACAAAAGTAGTTCAGGTTTCCTATACTTGGTGAGAACATTTTATGTGAAATATATTTGTTGGGAGTGACTGGTAAATGTTCTGTGATATGCTGGCATACTATGCATTTCTTACCCACTTAGCTGCTAGGTAATTTTTCAGATTTTCAGTGTGTTTCAGGGTTTATTTTTAGTATAGATTATTGGTCAAGGAGCTACTACTTCTTTCCTCTCTCTACTCACTTGTATCATTTGTTGTTGGGACTTGGTGGGTAGGAATACCCTTCTGTCCTATGACTGCCTTCTCTCCTACTTTTTATAGGACCTCCACCTCGCACCATTTTTTCATCCTATGTGTTGGTTGGTATTCTTGATTCAATTGAATCATGAGTGGAAGCTGCTCAACTGTAGTCCTCACTCACATCCTTGGTTCCTTGCCTTTCCCAAACCATAGGTTCCACTCATGTGTCTCATCTTAGTCCTCCTGTTTCCCTTTTTTCTTTACCCTCTTCCTATTCTTCTCCTTCCCCTCATCAGTCTTTGGTCTGTTTGGTCTGATGT